TTTCTTTTTTGATCTATTCTTATATGCATTCTTATTTCCCCTTGATTCATTGTTGATATTGTTGGCCATTCAGTTTTTAACTACAATTCAAGTGGATTTCATTTTTTGATATAGTCGAGGCTGGACAAAATTATGTAGTTGTATCTTTTTTCTCTTTGTAGAATTTAGTAGTCTAATTATTGACGTGAAGGGTTCTCAAATCTTAATTGAGTAGTCAAGAATTCAAAGTATTCACATTATAAAAACATATTATTTAAAGAGTCGATATAGATTTAAGTCGATGTTTCTTTTTCACTTTGTATATTTTAATATTTGGTCTCTTCTTCTCTTTTGATACATTGTTAATAGTTATTCATTTAGCTTTAAGGATTTAGTTTTTTTATATACTTGATGTTATTTCGGTATACTTGAAATATAAAAAAAAAAATCTAAAATTATTTCTCTCATTCTTTGTAAGATGATTTTGTTGTGTGTTATTTATAATTTAATTTAAAATTATAAAAATTATTTTTTCCTTGTTTCTTGAATCAATAAATAAGTAGTCATAATTCAAAGATTCCCATTTTACATCCATTATTTGGAGCATTCTCAAGATGATGTGTCATTTTTAGTATATATTTATATATGTTCTCCTTTTCTCTCTTTTGATGTTATTTATTTACTTTTATTCTATTAGATCTAGTTTTTCCTCTTTTATATATACATTTAAGATTATTTCAATATGCTCCAAGTTGGACTATGGAAAATCCTTTTATAAGAAACCAGATCGTAAAAATAAAGTAAGGATTTCATGAATTGTTATTCTTATTTTATATAAACTTAACATTTGTGAAATTTATTACATGTAGGCAGTTTTCTTGAAGCAAATTTAAAAGCTGAAGAATTCCAAATTTTACAAAATTGTAAGTATTTAGTTTGGTATATTTATTTTTCTTTGCAATTTCTTAGAATAGTGACCATGCATTGCTATAGATGATTGGTACATTTATCATACACTGCTTTCTTTTTTCTAAATTTGAAAAAACTAATTTACCTAATAATCATGAGATGGTGATAATAAGAAAATATCATTAAGAGATGACTTATGTAATAATTATCATTAAATTTATTATATCAAATCAATAATTGTGGTTTATTTATTTACGTTTTAAGGTAATTTTTGCTACTTTAAAAATATTAACAAAATTTTAATTGAAAATAAGGATTAGATTTGATATTTAAGAAAAAATAAAATAGTATTCAATGATGATGTTTTATAGAGAAAATACTTATTTAATATCAAGAAAAATAACCCAAAAATAAAAGAAACACAAGACTGCTCTCTTGACTTTGCAATCACTTCTGGATTAGAACATATGTTCATCGGTTATAAAATAATGACAAGTTTTCTGCATTTATTTTGGTGATAGTCTTAAAAGATCATCGTTATGTTTGATATTTTTGGTTATGAAAGATTGGTCCCAATTTCTGAAAATAGAACCAAGAAGAAGGGTTTTAAGGAAATCTTAATCTTGATTGGAGAGGCATATAATCTTTTTTAAAGTGTTACCATTGCTAAGTATGAGGGAGTTTTTACATAGAAAGAAGAAGCTTGACAATAATTACATATTGTTTCGATGTATTTATGAAATTTTGTTAAAATAGCAATATATTTATATTTTATAGATGAATTTTCAGGTGTGTTTACTTGTGATGGTTTTATATTCATGTTTTCGATCTAGATGGTTTCGAGGTAAAATAATTTTAAAATTATATTTGAAGCCACAAGTAAATATTGAGGGTAGTATTGAAATTTTATATACTTAATGAGTATATTTTTCTCTTTTCCGGTCATACAATTTTTTTTAATGTCCACCTTTATTTAAAATGAAGTATCTGTTTTATTTTTCTCTCTATCAGACTTTTTATATTTCTTAAATCTAGAATTGAGTGCGTATCAAAATATTTCAAATTTTACATCTATATCTTGGAGAGTTGGATATAATTTAAGGTGATTATTATTACAATCTATTTTTGGATTTTTTTTTCATTGATACATTGTTGTTGTTATTCAATTAGTTTGCTATGCTTCAATTATATCTGGTTTCCTGGTATCCATAAGGTTTACACTAGAGATTTAACAAAAAAGTCAAATCAATGAGATTACGGAAATAAAGAAAATATTTTTATGAATTTTTATTGTTGTTTTTATCAATTCGATACCAGTAAAAAACATTATATTTCTACAGTTTTGATCTTGAGGCAAGTTTGAAGGCAAGAGAAAGACACAACAAATTCGTCTCATTTGACCAAATTTCAATTTCTACAAAGTGGTAAGATTTTTTATCTTATTTTTAATATTTATTTATCTTTACAATTTCTTAAATTAGTATTGCTATTGATGAATTTAGGGCGGCTTTAGTAATAAGTATCATGTTGGTGTGTGAATGTGAAAGAGAAAGAAGAAGAAGGAGAATATGAGGAGTTTATCCCACGTTGGAAAAACAAAGAGACTCCACCCTCCATAAATGCAATGTGATACATTTATGAGTAAAAGAATTAATTGGTTGGATTGAGCCCAATTATGAATGGGCTTAATATTGGCTTGGGTCATTAGGTCTATATATAGATAGATTGGGCCTTGGGGCCGGGCCCATTTGCGAGAAAATTAATTGATTCAAAATTTGTATTTTATCCGATTAATTTATTTTGACAATTGAAAAATTCAAATTGACCGGGTAAAGGAAAGTGGTTGCAACTCTAAGCAACGTGAATCGAAATTAAGTCGGCTGTTTTATACTCTCTGTTTCCCTTTGTTCTTCGATTTTCCTCCAAAAACTTCTAAAAAGAGCTTTCTTAGTTCGGTTTTTGGTGGGATCGTAGATCCCTGATCGATTCGTTTTATTCTGGGAAGCAATCGGTGGCAGGCCGAATTTGCTTCAAAGAGATCGCGTGCAACGCGAAACTTGAATCTTCTTAATCAAATCTGTTATCTGATTTTGAATTAAAGCGTCTCGATTTTCAATATTACAACATTGATAACATATCATTGCATTTGGATTCATTTTGCTTAATCATTAAATTTTAAAAAAAACTCTTTATTATTGTTTGTTCGAAAAATGTCATATATATAACATCATCATATAAATTAGGTTCTTACATATCAAGGGTACCACATAGTAGACATAGAAAACTCTCCTAGAGAGGAAAGTCCCACGTACTAAATGTATATTTGAAGAATTGATTATGTGTTGGTTGTAGAAAAGAATAAAAAGAGAGAGGGAGCATTTTAGGTATTTTCAAGAATTTTGTTGTTAATTATTTGGTGTGATTAAAAAATATTAAGTTAGTGATTAGTTTTTAAACTAATGTTAGAAAAAAGGACTTTGTATCTTATATAAAGATTAAAGTGTTAACCGTGTTATTGTACAAACCAAAGTCTCACATTGAAAATTAGATAGATTGATGTTTGCTATGTGTTATTAAGATTATATATATATTTGGATTGGAGAGTACATTTTGTGCATTATCACGTTGTTAACTTTCTGCACTTGAATGGGTCTAAAGGAAATATTGAGATGTTTATTTAATATTTTTGAGTTCCTCGAGGAGTATGAATTTCTTGTTACCTTTATATTGATCATGAATCATGGTAACATATATGACTTTTAGTAAGATTATTGGTATTTTGTTTGGGAACAGTTAGGGTGCTGAATTGGAAAAATCAGCACCTTGTCAGCACCCGTAATACATAGAAACAACACAAAGTCTTATTATACACAATTGAAATCAATTAGTATTTGTGTTGTATAAGATGTGCTGTCAGTTCATGTGTTGTATTTGTGTTGTTGGTTCATAATACAAGTGTGTTGTATAACAATATGTGGTGTGCTAAAATCAAGTATTGATTGTACTGTATAAAACTATAGCATGTGTTGTTAGTTAATGTATTGTATTTGTATTATATAAATGTTGTGCTGCGGTGTGTTGTAGCGCCCGCCATTTTGTTTTGAGGAATTGAATTATATTTAACCATCTTTACTTCATTATATAGGATAATTGTCAATCAGTGAATTACCAAGGAGAGGGAAGAGCATCATCGGTAAATGATGGTCAAAGTGAATCATCTACTTCTTATAATGGCATGGATAAATTACAAAGGAGGAGAAGATCTCAATCGCATTCCTTGAGTAGAGGTAGGTGTTAACATTTTGAAAGTGTTAGCTTAAGTTTCATTCATCATTATTACTAAGTATATTCATGCAACCATCAACCAGATGACATAATCAGCTCCGAATCAACACTGAGAATGCACGATGAAGATATTGTGATCACTGAAGAATTACGAAATAAGATCTCTGCAACGATCGAGCATTTATTTGGACATGGTGATGTTTTAACATGAATATTATTATAGGATTGGACAAAAGGAGTTTGTCCATACCTACCATCTAATGACTGCTGGAACGCTTGAGGCGGAAAAATATTGCCGGCAAGCTGAGAAAGAACGGCTATCAGAATTAGTCTTCTGCTCTTCTTTGAACGAGGAGGAAATATCAAAGCAGCCGATGCCGGAGATTGAGGACAAGATTCTTCAAGAGATGGTCCAGCACCCGATGATGAAAGATATATTTGAAAAGATCATCCACCAGCCTAAGAATGCCGACTTGAGCGAATCCTTGCGTGGCAGAGGTTGAGGATATTCCCGGGAGTATAAAGGTACGTGTTGATTTATTTTATTTTTTTCGTCCTAACAACTTGATTCATATTCTTAAATAATCTGATCAACCTAATGATCCAATCTGTGCACCATTGGTACCCATATATATCTGATAAAATAATTTATGTATTTGAATGCAGGGCTTTAAAGAAGAAGTTCAAAGACAGGATGCATGTCTGATCATTTTCAGGTATATTAGCTGTTTGCTTTGCTACAATGGCTACATTTCTCAATTCCCTTTTTATTTGTAGACCAGACCTTAAGAGAGAATATACAGCAAGAGTATCCTGAGGTTGTCGAGAGGCACAGGTATTAACATTATGCTGCATAGAGAACCTGCACTTTTGGTCTTAATGATTTGACATATTCCTTGTTTTGTATTCAATGGCGGGCAATCGAGCTGATGAGGAGGTGAATATCAATCTCCCTTTTAAGTTTTAGCTAATAATTATTTCTATACATGGATAATTAAGATTCTTATCTATATGTCCTAGTGAGCAGATTTTACAGAATTCTATTCGAGAGCAAGGCCGAGGGCAGGTGTAGCCATATGTCCTAATCTTTTCTATTTTTCTTTTACTTCTTTGCTCACCATGCTAGATTTGTGCTGTCATCTTTTATTAATAGGATGTACAAAGTAAAGCATACATGACTATCGATGAAATTAAAATTTGAAATTAAACAGAGGTTTGTCAATCGACTGATTAGAATATTTTTATTTTCATTTTGTTAGTTTCTCTGTAAGAAGTTCAAATTTTATGACATTCGCAACAACTTTGTTAAATCATTTAAAACGCCTATTGCTCGTGCACAGATTCGTGTACAGCCAGGAATGATCTCGACTCTCATATATAGTTAGTCCTTTGTGATCAGGAAATCCGAAAAATTGCACTTATCTTTTCTGTCCTCTTTCATTGTTGAACACAGATCTTCATGGACATGGCTGTGCTGGTCGATGCTTAAGGCGACATGCTCGACAATATAGAATCGAAGGTAAAATTATACTCCCTCCATTTACTAACAATAGATACATTTACTATTTGAATGTTGATTACGGAATTATAGTATTTTATATATAGTAGATAGTTTGTAAGCATGAAAAGAGTAAAATACTCTTAGATCTTAAGGGTCAACTTAATTTATGTATTAATATGCTAAAATCAAAATAGGCATTTTAGTACTTTTATGTGAAATGATAGAATATTTGAGTACTATAACGGGGCCCATACTAAAGAACCGATAGTTTTAATTAAGCTAAATCACATTTTGTTCTTATGTACATTGGATAACTTTATTATTACATTAATTTGTTGTTTATTGCCCAATAAATTAAGACTATAGACAACGCTACTTTTTTTTAAAGATTGCGTCATGTATATTTTGTTAGATATATTTTGGCCCAACCCAATACCAAGCCCATCCCGCAACCCAAAACCCTTTAACCCGACCCGACCCGACCCGACCCACACCTTATAACTCCCCCAAACCCCCTATTCTCATTATATAGTGTATTGCGCGATTTGGAGTCTGTTTTTTTTTCTCTCTCTGGTTCATCTTCTTCGAGTTCTTCTCAGTAAGTTTGGGGTTCTCTTCTTCGCCGAAATCTCCATTGTTCTTGTTCGATTCCTTCGGTAAGTTGTTCATCTGGGTGTTTTTGTGAGGTTTTGGGGGAAATCGGTCGATTAGAGTTTAGGGTCGATCGAGTCCGTTGGTTTGGGGTTTTGTTTGGAAGCGGTTGGGTTAGTCCCTAAATGTGAGTCATTAGGTTGTAGACTGAGCCGTAAGAATAGTTTCCCCTATCCTTTGTGCTTTGTGAGTTGTGTGTTCTAGACTAAGTGAACAATCTAGGTTGTTAATTTCTCGGGAATATCTAAGTGTATGTCTAACTGCATGTTAGTTTGCTAAGCTTTGTGATAGTGTTGTTTAGGCTTTGTGATATATTTTATTTCTCTTTGTGATAATGTGAGCAAACCTATATTCTTAGCTACTTTGTGATTGACGTCGAATTTATTGGTGTGATATATGTTTGTCTTTGTGTTTCTATGTGTTTCAAGCATGTGATAGGATCCTTTAGTATAAGCGTACACTATGTTTTTCTTTGTGGTGTCATGTCATGTCTATACTTTGTGATTAGTTCTAAGGTGGAGTTCGCATGTTGCCTCTTTTTTGCATTAAGTTGTCCCTTTATTGGAATGAGCTATTAGTTTCTGCAGGACTAATGTTTGCTTGTGAGGGCAGGGTTTACTTAACGTTTGTTGTGAGTGTAGGTTCATTGTGTATCGGTGAATCTTCTCGGGCAATTTCCATGCGACTTGATTAGGCGAAAAGGGTCTCTAGGCTGTGATGCATCCCTACGGGAGCAACCATCGGTAAATGACTTGGCCAAAAAGATGGAGAATGTTAGATATATTTTGGCCCAACCCAATACCAAGCCCAACCCGCAAACCAAAACCCTTTAACCCGACCCGGCCCGACCCACACCTTATAACTCCCTCAAAACCCCTAATTCTCATTATATAGTGTATTGCGCGGTTTGGAGTCTGTTTTTTCTCTCCCTCTGGTTCATCTTCTTCGAGTTCTTCTCGGTAAGTTTGGGGTTCTCTTCTTCGCCGAAATCGCCGTTGTTCTTGTTCGATTCCTTCGGTAAGTTGTTCATCTGGGTGCTTTTGTGAGGTTTTGGGGGAAATTGGTCGATTAGAGTTTAGGGTCGATCGAGTCCGTTGGTTTGGGGTTTTGTTTGGAGGTGGTTGGTTTAGTCCCTAAATGTGAGTCATTAGGTTGTAGGCTGAGCCATAAGAATAGTTTCCCCTATCCTTTGTCGAGTCGCTTGGAAATCGCCGGAAGAGGAAGTTGCCGAGGTCCACGAACCACTGGGTTAGAGACACTGGGTACCGAGGTCCACGAACCACTGATAGTTAGTTAATAAATATATAATGGGGTTTTAACATAATATCTTAATTCAGAAAATTAGCATTATACTTTGCTTATACTTTGTTAGCCTATAAGAATGTTCTTGATAGTTGCAAACACTTGATGTAGGTCAGGTCTCGTGTTCTTTTGATGTCTTGTGGCTTAGAAGAAAATGTAGCTAAGGGGATCATGTTGACCGCCCCTCTTCCAGGTTTGTTATTGTAAAGTAATACACTATAGGTATGAATTTTTAAGTGTTTGCATAATATTTAATGCGTACTTGTTTGTATAATTGTGGGTCTTGACACATATTTATCTACTGCATTTAAATTTATTTTGTTACCATTTGTTTCGTGTGTTTGATTTATGCTTTCTTTCTAGGATTGTTTTAGTTTTGTGTTCGTAATTTGTTTCATTGAGAATTTTTTCGTTAAGTAGGTTGTGTTTGGATGTTACACGTACTCCAGAGTTATTCGGTGCATCCTATATGCCGTGCTTTTAGTTTTTGTATAGTGTTTCCTAAACAATTGTTGGTGGATCTTGGGTGTCATTGATATTGCACGTGTTCGTGAATGCATGTTCATTTAAATTGTACATATTCCATATATATGTCGTGATTTCAATATTATTATTCTAAAGAGTTGAGACTTAGGTGAGTCTTGGATTATTACTAGATAATTTATTCTTGAAATGGCTTAGGGTTGATCATTGCCGTTGGACAATGCAATGTTCTATTCCGGTTTTATTACATTGTTAATTATATGCATATTTAGTAGATGATATGTATATAAATTTGATGAAATTTTTTCGGTATAGCGTGTAGTTGTATATGCTTTCGTATTATTGATCTGTAGTACTTGTTAAGTCAAGAAAAATTCTTCTCCTTTGCCGGTATTTGTGAAACATATGCGACCATCTTTGTTATGTGTGAAATACTATGGATGGCTTCTATTATTATTATTATTATTATTATTATTATTATTATTATTATTATTATTATTATTTATTTGTAAATTGTTTCTTGAAATGATATATTACATTCATAATTATATGTTTTTTTTTCTTTATCTATATATGTAGGTGATATGCTAGCAATAGTTAAAGTCTTTGTAAGGGCTACCACGGTTCCGGAGACCTCAATTATTCTGCCAACAATTAGTTGAGCACGTACCCTCGGTGAGGTAATCAATGTTGATCCCACATACAAAGATGTATATAATATATATTTGAAGGTTTATTTTTTCTAGTAATTTATTGATTTTGAAATTATATACTTATATAACCTACTTATTCGTTGCAGTGCCACACATGAGTTCATCCCCCGTACTTTTGACGTTTCATGAGCATCCACACCCCATGTTTATGTGTTGAACCTGGATTGATGCCTTACTTGTTTTTACTATATTTTGAATGAGGCTTGCGTATAATTATGACATCGCTTATTAGATCATTTTGCATAATAAGTATGTAATTTTGGAAAGTCCGAGAGCTTGGTACATTGACACGGGAGCAACCTGCCATGTTTGCTCCGACAAAACAAACTTCTCGACCTATAAGGAGACCGAAGGGAGGAAGCTGCACATGATAAATTATGCAACTTCTGAGGTTCAAGGGGTGGGGAACGTGGTGCTGAAGATGACCTCTGGCAAAGAACAAACCCTGAAAGATGTCCTGCATGTGCCAGACATTCGGAAAAATCTCGTCTCAGGATCGCTACTAGTTAGGCATGGTTTTAAACTTGTCTTTGTAGCAGATAAATTTATATTATCGAAAAATGATATGTTCGTAGCTAGGGGTTATCTTAGAAATGGGCTGTTCAAATTGAATGTAATGGCTGTGCACCGAGCACCACCTACTGATAATAAAAATATTGTTTTTTCTTCGTACTTGATTGAGTGTTCTGATTTATAGCATTGTAGACTAGGTCATGTAAACCTAAATGCTATAAAAAGATTAGTAAATATGAATTTACTAAATATAAAAGAGGTGAACACTCAAAACAAATGTGAAGTTTGCGTGGGGCCAAAATGGCAAAATTACCATTCCCGTCTATCGAAAGGAAGATTAAGCCATTAGAGTTAATTCACACCGATGTATGTGATTTAAAATTTGTACGAACTAGAGGTGGAAAGAAATATTTCATCACCTTTATCGATGACTGCACAAAGTATTGCTATCTTTACCTATTAAGGGAAAAGAACGAAGCAATCGAAGCCTTCAAGAACTTCAAAACCGGGACAGAAAATCAACTTGACTGTAAAATCAAGACAGTTCGAAGTGATAGAGGTGGCTAATATGTGGCCCCGTTTGAAGAATTATGTAACGAAAGTGGCATAATTCATCAGACAACGGCCCCATATTCACCTAAATCGAACGGCGTTGCATAACGCAAAAATCGAACACTTAAGGAAATGATGAATGCCTTGCTGATAAGTTCAGGACTTCCCCAAAACTTGTGGGGGGAGGCGGTACTGACTACAAATTATATCCTGAACAAGATTCCATTTAAGGGTAAGGATGCCACCCCTTATGAACTATGGAAAGTCAAGAAACCCACGTACAAATACTTCAAAGTGTGGGGGTGCCTAGCAAAAATTGGCCAAAAAATGGTAGATTGCATATTTATTGGATATGCACTAAATAGTAGTGCGTATCGTTTCATAGTTCACAAATCGGAAATCCTGGAATGACCAAGGGAACTACGATAGAATCAAGGAATGTCACATTCTTTGAAAATATCTACCCTTGTAAGCAATGGATGCAATCAAACCCAAAATCCGTAGATGAAGAACTACGGGGCATAAAAAGACAAATGACCAATAGCCCTAATCAAGAGGCTTCAGAGCCTAGGCGTAGCAAAAGGACAAGGGTCGAGAAAACCTTTCGTACGGATTTTCTTACGTATATGTTAAACAATGATCCAGCAATGATCAAGGAACCACTATCTAGTCCTGATGCTCCTTTTTGGAAGGAAACAATAGATAGTGAAATAGACTCAATAATGCATAATAACACTTGGGTGTTATCTGACCTACCCAAAGGCTGCAAACCATTAGGGTGTAAATGAGTTTTGAAAAAGAAACTCAAGGTTGATGGGTCTATTGACAAATACAAAGGCCGTCTCGTAGTAAAAGGCTACAAAAAAACTCGAAGGGTACTACGATGCCAATTGGATATCCGATGCAAAAGACTCATTGTCTACAAGTGGATATGTATTTACAATTGGAGGAGGAGTTGTCTCGTGGAAATCAACAAAATAGACGTGCATTGCACGATCCACAATGGAATCGGAGTTCATCGCCTTGGACAAAGCTGGCGAAGAAGCCGAATGGCTGAGGAACTTCATGGATGATATTCCATACTGGACTAAACCAGTACCTCCCGTAGTGATTCACTGCGATAGCCAAGCTGCAATAGCAAGGGCTATGAATGGAATTTACAACGGTAAATCCCGACATATCTGACATAAACATAACAATGTAAGACATTTGATCACCAGTGGGGTTTTGACTATTGAATATGTAAAATCAATGGAAAACCTAGCGGATCCGCTAACCAAAGGGTTGCAGAGAGAGCAAATGTACAAACTGCTAAAGGGAATGGGTTTGAAATCCACAAGATAGAGACAATTACAGTGGTAACCCAACCAAATCATTTGGAAATCCCAAGCCTTGGTTCAATGGGAAAACTAAATTGTAAGAGTCCGGCACGAACACTCAATACAATTCCCTGAAAAGCAATGAGTGTTATAATGTGAAAAAGTTGTAAGGTTGAGTCAATGACTCTTAATGATCCTAAAGGTGTAAGTTAGATACCTTGATATAGGATTACCTATATAAGTGTGAAGTGTGGGCCGCTTCAAATGAAACACTTATGAATCCAAAGATGAGATCCATGGCCGAAATGGATCAAAATGTGAGAACAAAGTTGAGACTGAGATAGCGACACGTCAATATTATTGACTAAGTACACGCAGAGGTGGAACAGTTCAATGCATCACGTCAACTCGGCCACCAATACAATCTGTAATGTTGACTATGGAAGGTTCAAAGCCAAAAACTACATGTCCTGATGTGTCAATGTCTCACAGGGATTAAGCTGGGTTTATGTCATTTATGGGCATTTCCACTAATGTGGAGGATTGTTGGATAATCAGTTATTTTGCAATCGATTATGTTGTCAGTGACAATGCGACGGGTCGGTGTACCAAATTAATATAATTAATTTGGAAGAAATATATTGTGTATGGGGTTTGGTTAATATTTTGACTATTTTGCCTGTTTCGAGACAAACTAAATTGTGCAACCCCAAATTAAACTTGGGTATATGGCCTAAGTCGCAATATTATTTGGATAGATTTATTATAATCTCAAACGGAAGGTTTGAAATTAGAATAAATTACAATCATTTCAAATGGAAGGTTTGAAATTAGAATAAATTACGATCGTCACAAACAGAAGGTTTGTAATTAGAATCAATTACGACTGCTTCAAATGGAAGGTTTGAATTTATAATTAATTACATTGATAATTAAGGTCGTAATTATGATCGTAATTGATCCCCTGCCATTTTGGCCGAGTGGAGACGCCTATATAAAGGGCCTCCCCCTTCATTCTAACATTTAACACAAACAATCCTCTCATCCTTCTCTTATCTCTTCTACTTTCCGGAAGCCTCCCCAACTTAGTTCCTCTCTCGTTTTGTTCGTCTGAGCTCCAATGATTAGAGGTGCCACTCTCAATGGAGACAGAAACCGTTTTATCTTTGGATTAGAATGCCACCCACCGGAGGCACTATCGGGGCGTATCTAATTTTCGGAAAGAGGATCCATCCTCGACTCGGTTTAACGTTTATTCTCGCAATACCCATATATTCCAACATTTGTATCACGTCTAAAGGAAGGTGATGAGTCCAAAGACGAATGAGAAGATGAAAATGAAGAAATTATTGTAAGGAACCATCTATAATTCTTGTGATCATTCTCTTTCGTCTATGCCCACGATCACACGCCAAATTTCTGATTATGTATCCTTCACCTCTGGGAATTAATTTGCGACTAGAAACTGAAATTCATGATTTTTTTAACAACAATTCATTATTCTATTATGTCAGAAAAAGACAAGTGATTAGTTCAAAATAATTTTTTAAGCCTCTTTATTTGTATTATTGCGGCAAAAACATGTTAGAGAAGCATGAAAAGTAGAAAAATAATTTTTCCATCATATCACATTCAATATATTTTTCTTGAGTAGCCACACTTTTGATGTAATTATAAACATAACAAAATTATAATATTGCGATGTTTTAAAATCCTACTGATCGAGGGTTTTGGAGACAGAGAGAGAAATTGAGAGAGATACAAGATTAAGGGAAGTGAATTACTTTTCATTCATGGATGTACATATTTGTAGGACATCCAAAAATTAAGTTGTATGCCACCATTCATACACATATTGAAAAAAAAAGAGAGTGAATAATTTTAATTTTATTATGGATTATATGAAAGAGTTTATTTAGTATAGGCAAAGTTGCCCATAACTTCATTGTGTTCGAAACTCAGAGTAAATCTCCCATTTACTTTAAAAATTATGTGGCGTCCCCTTATACTTTAAAAAATATTGCATCAAATCCCTATGTAGTTTCGAAATTCAAAGTAAATCTCCATATTACTTTAAAAATTGCATAGTGCCCCCTTATATTTTAAAATTGTTGCATGAAAAATATAGATAGAAAATTATTTTCTCACAAGGGAAGTTTCATGGCGATGGAATTTCATACAACGTTTTTGAAAGTATAAGGAGATGCCATGCAATTTTTAAAGTATACAAAAATTTTACGCTGAATTTTGAAACTCTAAGGGAGCTACGAGCAATTTTACCTTTAGTATATGTTGAACTAAGAAAAAAATTACTAAGATATAATTATATATATAGAATCATAATAAATATTAGTTATGTTTTAACCAATTGAATAATTGAATGATTTTTTCTAACATTTATACATTGAATAATAAAAAACTTATGCTAAATGTTAAAATTGTAAAAAATTATCCCATATATGTGTCTAAATTCTAATCCTAGCAAAATATATCCTGGATTATCCCATATATGTGTCTAAATGAAATCCAAGAGTTTTCCGGAGCATATGGTGGATCTCGAGCAAGCCTTCCGACAAATGAGGCACTATAACTTGAAGATGAATCTAGCGAAGTGCGCATTCGGAGTGGCCTCCGGAAACTTTTTGGGTTTCATGGTGCATAATAAGGGCATTGAGGTGGATAGTAACAAAACCAAAGCTATCATCAATGCCCGACCGCCTGAGAATCTGAAACAACTTCAAGGATTCCTTGTGCAGGTCAATTTTCTACGGAGATTTGTCTCGAACGCTGCAGGCAAGCAAAAAGCTTTTTCTACACTGCTCAAGTTGCGGAAAACAGAAGAGTTCGTGTGGGAGCCGCTACACCAGCAGGCTTTCGAAGCCATTAAAGGAGCTATGGCCAATCCACCAGTGTTGATGCCGCCGCAAGCAGACAAACCTCTGCGCTTGTATGTTCCCGCCACTGAGAATATGGTTGGTTGCTTACTGGCGCATGAAGCTCCCGATAGAAGCGAACGTGCCAGTTTTTACCTCAGTAAGGTAATGAATGATGCGGAGACAAGGCACACTCCTATAGAAAAATTATGTCTCGCATTATTTTACGCTTGTACGAAACTTGAATATTATTTAGCCCCGAGAGAGACAGAAGTGGTATGTCACATCGATATTTTGAGATATCTGTTAGGCAGGCCAGCTTTAAGGGGAAGACAAGCAAAATGGGCCGTAAAGCTAGCCGCGTTTGATCTACGATATGTACCGATCAAAGCTGTTAAGGGACAGGTTGTTGCTAACTTTCTAGCAGATCATCCGAGTCCGGTGGCTGACCAATCAGCTAATCGCATGGAAGCTGTTATTAGTCCGATGCCTTGGATCTTGAAGTTCGACGGGTCCAGCACGCAGACTAAGGCTGGGGCTGGGGTATTCATTGAGAGTCCCTGGGGACAAAAATGGACTGTTGCCAGGTCATTAACACCCGGATTCACTAACAATCAAGCGGAATACGAAGCCTTATTAGTTGGATTGAGAATCCTACATAAAAAGGGGGCTAAGGCGATCAGAGTTCAAGGCGACTCACAGCTAATCTTGAAGCAGATTACTGGAGAGTTCCAATGCAAAGATGAGAGGATGAGAAATCTTCGAATGGAAGCATTTAGGATGTTGCAAACTTTCGACGACGCAGTGGTGGAATTAATACCTCGAGCCGAAAACAGAATAGCTAATGATTTGGCTCAAGAAGCATCTGGGTACAAGTCATCAGCCGCAGGAAACTTCAAATCAGGTCGAGTACATCTGTACCCAGTGGATGCGGAAGACTGGCGTATGGAACTGAGGAAATATTTGGAACAACCAACCGATGAAACTCCGGAAAAGCTGCGGAAAGAGGCTCTGAAGTATACTCTGACTGACGGAGATCTTTTCCGCAGAGCCGCCGATGGAATGTTAATGAGATGCGTAGATAATCAAGAAGCCATGAAGGTGATGGGTGAGGTGCATGAAGGAATTTGTGGAGCACACAAATCCGGGCCAGTCATGAGATGGACGATCCGACGATATGGGTATTTCTGGCCATCAATGATGGAGGATTGTATTAAGTACGCTAAAAAATGTGAAGCATGTCAGCGACATGGTCCTTCGATCCGAATTCCGGCGGAAGAAATGCACGCAGTGGTGAAACCATGGCCATTCCGGGGATGGGCGGTGGATATCATCGGGAAGATCCACCCGCCATCTTCCAGACGCCAGTCGTTCATATTGTTGGCCACAGATTATTTCACAAAGTGGATAGAAGCTGTGCCGTTGGCTAATGTGACATATCAGGAGGTGATCAAGTTCGTTAAAGTTAAAGAGCACATTATTCACCGATATGGAATCCCGCAGACGATCACCGCCGATCAAGGTACTGTTTTTACCAGCGATAGAGTGGCCGCCTTCGCCGCACAGTATGGGATTGCTCTTTTGCATTCGTCCCCGTATTATGCGCAGGCAAATGGCCAGACCGAAGCAACCAACAAAGTCTTAATTGGGGTAATAAAAAAGGCCGTAGAAAATAACCCGAGAAGATGACACGAAGTGTTAGGGGAGGCCTTATGGGCTTGCAGGCAATACCAAAATAAAGCCATTGGTTTCACTCCATTCCAACTGGTTTATGGACAAGAAGCGATATTGCCGTTGGAAATCACGGTGCCATCGTTACGAGTGTTAAAGCAAAATTCGCTTAGTCCCGAGCAGTACGACACAGTGATGTTACAAAGATTGGATGACGTGCACGAGGATCAAATGATGGCTTTGGAGAATATCAGGGCAAATAAAGTGAAAGTAGCACGAGCTTACAACAAAAAGGTACGTCGGCGAACATTCCAAGAAGGAGATTTGGTATGGAAGGCATTGCTACCCGAAGGATTCAAAGATAATACATTCGGGAAGTGGTCTCCTACGTGGGAAGGTCCGTACCAAGTAAGTAGAGTGCTGCCTAACGGTGCTTATAGATTGATGAGTATTGATGGGATAGAACATAGAAACGTTATCAACGTTAAGCACCTTAAAGGATATATGTCACCACTCGAGTTCAGATAAAGAAATGCAATGTGCAAACTGAAAGCAGGCCCTGTTTTGGCCGCTAGATGTAATGAGCGAAACGAAAGCAGGCCCTGTTTAGGCCGCTAGATATGAAGCAAAACAAAAGCAGGCTATTAAGCCGCTAACGTGCAAAACGAAGGTAGTCCATTAAGCCGCTGGTCTGCAAAATGAAAGCAGGCTATTAAACCGCTAGTACGCAAAATGAAAGCAGGCCATTAAGCCGCTAATGTGCGAATGGAAACAAAACGAAAATAAGTCATCGTAAATAGCCAAATGAGCACCAAACCATAAAATCCAAACGAAACGGTGGGTGAATCAAAGAAAGGCGAATGGTTCCCAAGGTTAACGCATGGTATGAGGAGTATCCTTTGCTGCTGGGTTCACATCGGGCTCGGAGTTATCAGGATCAGGTGTTGCATCCACGGAAGCTGGATCTGTTAGGACTGGGGTCGGGTCTTCCAGAGACGGAACTGTTCCATCGGGACCTGGCGCTGCTTCCATGGGAACTGGATCCGTTGTAGTTAGAATCAGACCTTCCTTAGACGGAGCCGTTCCATCGAGGACTGGCGTTGCTTCCGTAGGGACTGGATCCTTTGGAATTGAAATCATATTTTCCGGATCTGGAACCAGTCCATCAGGCCCGGGAACTGTTTCCATGGGGATCGGATCTATCGAGGGCGGAATCGGGTTTTCCAGAGCTGGAGTTGTTCCATCAGGAACTGGCGCTGCTTCCACTGAAGTTGAAATCTCTGGGGCCAAGGCTACTCCAGCAACGATTTGAACCACACCTACAAAAGTAAGGCCCTCCGAAGACAAGGCTGTTCTACCAGAGCTAGAAGCTACACCGGGTAAAGCCGAGCCCTCTGGAATCGATGCTGCTTCCTCGGAGACGGGGATTGCTGAAGTCGAAGGCGATTCGGAAGCATTATGGTCTGCTGCCACTTCTCTCACAACGTGAGCAATAGACACTTGGACGTCGGCAACAGTCTGCAACGAAGGTTCAGCCACACTACTGGAAGGAAGAACCGTCGAAGAAGCCATACAACTTGATACTTGCGTTCACCAAACAGGAGAAAAGCCTTCGAAGGAGAAACGAGAGAAGAAGTGGAAAAGGGGACTGATGATAAACCCTTAGGAAAAAACCCTTGAATGTCTTTTCTCTCTTAGACGATGCGGGAATCGAAGGAAGCAGCCGTCACATCAAGGTTAGAGGGGTTGACGTGAGATATCAAGTTGGGATAATTTTGTGCCAAGGCCCAAGAGGGTAAGTCCCACACGAAAGAAGTCCCAAAAAGAGAGCAAAGCTTCACGTAGCTTACATTTCATCTCTTTTTGAGGAGGGCAATTGTTGGACCCCAAGTCCAAAATGACTTAAATATCGAAGATAGTGACTTCCATCAGGTTGCGTAGCTTCCATGGAGCAAGAAGATATGACTTCCATAGACCTTCGGACGACAAGCTCCATCAACTCTGAATTGGCAACCTCATGACACTAATGGAAGACCATGAAAAGTGAGGGTTCCATGTAACTCAAGGCTGTCGGGAACATATTCCCGAAGACCGGTTGGGAGTATGATGGAAACGAATCAGGTTAGGCTGCAGGTATGATCTGAAGGCAATGGAAGAGATCCAAAGCGAATGGAACTTGGTCTAGGAACGATGGAAGATGCTCAAGACGAATGGAACCCGGTCCAGGAGCAATGGAAGCCGCTGGGAACTGATGGAAGGAGGTTATTTGATGGTTAAGAGAAGTAGAAAGAAGTGGGAATAATTTGTAACCACCCCTGTTAGTGGAAGAAGTGGTTATTTTAGCCTAGGACTACAATTAGGAAAACGAAACACAACACACACACGCACAACAGAACAAATCGCATCTTTTCATATTTTTCTTCCTTGTTTTATTTTCGAAATTTAATTCCGATTATATGCTTTCTGCAATTTATTTACTCGCTTTCCATAGTTAATCGTAGTTTAGTTCAGTGATCGTGTGAAATTCGCATTGCCCGACGACGGATTGGCTCTTTGGAGTACTTCCGGAACCCACGCCGACGAAATCGACGAGCTATTTTGGAATTCTGAATCGCAGGATCCAACAATTGGCACGCTTGGTGGGACCAAAGTAGGATTTTTTCGAAGAGTGATGTCGAGGTTGACATGGGGTTCATATGTACCGCCTGAAAAAAGCTACGGAATTGTTTCAGAACATCCAAAGCTTCAGGCCTTAGGGCCGGGCCAGGCAAGATCAGGTTGGAACCAACAGGGTTGGAACCACCAGTCTGCAGAAGGTTGGTTCCAACAGCCTGCGGATGGTTGGAACCAACAACCTGCAGGAAGCTGGAAGCAACAGCCCATGGAAGGCTTGCAACAGCTTGCGGAGGGCTGGAACCACCAGCCTGTGGAAAGCTAGAACCACCAGTTTGCGGAAGGCTGGCGACAGCCTACGGAGCGCTGGAGCCAACAGGCTGCGGAGGGCTTGAACACCATGGCCGTTGGAGTTTTGAGGAGCAATGCTGAGCCTCCACGAGGGGCAAGCAAATTTTCAACATTTGGCATGACCCCACCAGGGCGATTAAGCGCACAACCTCTGTGGAATACGCCAACACTGCCATGGGGATGTCATGGTCCAGACGTGGCTAATCTCCAATGGAAAGGGATCATCGAAACACAAGGGCAAGGAGGGCAGGCCGCAGAGATGCAGCTACCAACCCTCCATCAGCAGGCAGCCGGAGTGCAGCCGCTGACACAAAATCAACTAGAGGCCAAGCCTCTAATGGACGTTGATATCATCGCAGATTGCATAAGGAGGGCATTTTCAAAAAAGAGGTTTGAAAAGAAGCCTAGTGCCACTTTGAGCACGGAAAATTTGCCTTCATATGAAAAGGAATCTGTGGAGGCAGAGGTTCCAAAAGCGATGGAAGCTCCAGAGTTTGCGGAGGCAGAGACTCTAGAAGCTGTGGAAACTCCATTCGAAAAGGAGTCTGCGAAAGCAGAGGTTCCAGAAGCCATGGAAGCTCAAAAATTCACGGAGGCAGAGGCTCTAGGGACTATGGAGGCTCCTAATGAAAAGGAGTCTGCGGGGGCAGAAGCTCCAGAGCTTATGGAGGCAGAGACTCCAAAGGTTGTGGAGGCTCCCGTTGAAATGGAGTCTGCAGAGGCAGAGGTTCCAGAAGCCATGGAAGCTCCAAAATTTGCAGAGGTAGAGACTCCAGGGACCATGGAGGCTCCAAACGAAAAGGAGAATGTAAGGGCAAAGACTCCATACAAAAAGGACATTGTAGGGGAAGAGACTCAAGAGGCTATGGAGGTTCCATACGAAAAGGAGTCTGCAAAGGTAAAAGCCCTAGCGACTTCAGACGAAAAGGACTTTGCGAAGGCAGAAGCTTTGGCCACGAAATTAGCAAATGAAAAGACTTATTTGTGTCCGGAATTGAAATCGACCAAAGGTTTTATTCCTTTTGCTAATACCATGTCGGCTAAAGGGCTCATGAAAGACAGGCTTAGCACTCAGCCGTCAAAACCTTTGGTTCAAGATTATCTAGGACCGAAGGCACCCGCTAAAGAAGCAGTTTTTACAAGAATGACATTTGGTAAAGGCTCAAGTTTGAACATGAAGGAGGCACGACCAAAGATGGCCAAGAAAGAGCCTAATGCCGATATCACCATCCCAAGTCTGAAAGCCTTAAAATTGGAGAAGAGGAAAGTATACAAAGGACCCAAGCCGGAGGCCATCATAGCAGAAGTGAGAGTCACAAATGGGAAACGGATTTGGACTATTACCACGGCTGACCAGATCACCATCATTCCCAAGGTGACACGAAAGCCCCCTATCATAAAAGAGAACAAAAAATGGATTGTGAATGAGCCGAAGCTTTCCACTAGGAGGGCAATAAGTGGACTCACTAGGACCCAAAAGAGGCGAGCTCAAAGAAGAAAGTTGGAGGCTCGTATGGAGGAGGGAAGGTCGCATGAGCCGCCTCAAAAAAAGAAGCAAATTGTTGGGCCGCTTCCAGAAAGAAAGCAGGCCATGGAGCCGCCAAGGAAGCAAGCAATGGAACCGCCTCTAAAATAGAAACAGGCCATGGAGCAGCCTTAAAAAAGAAGCAAGTTGTAGAGCCGCTCCAAGAAAGGAAGCAGGCCATGGAGTCGCCAGCGAAGCAGGCTGTAAAGCCGCTTTCAGAAAGAAAGCAGGCCATGGAGACGCCAAGGAAGCAGGCCATGGAGCTGCCAAGGAAACAGGCTGTGGAGCCGCTTTCAGAGAGAAAGCAGGCCGTGGAGCTGGTTTCAGAGAAAAAGCAGGCTATGGAGCCGCTTCCAAAAAGAAAGAAAGTCATGGAGCTGCCAAGGAAGCAAGTTGTGAAGCCGCTTTTAGAGAGAAAACAGGCTGTGGAGCCGCTTTAAAAAAGGAAGCACGCTGTGGAGTCACTTTCAAAGAACAAGCAGGCTGTGGAGCCGCTTCAATAAATAAAGCAGGCTGTGGAACTACTAAGGAAGCAAGTTCTGGAGCCATTTTCAGAATGGAAGCAGGTTGTAGAGCCGCTTTCAGAGAGGAAGCAGGTTGTGGAGCCGCTTTCAGAAAGAAAGCAAACTGTGGAGCCGCTAAAGAACCAGGCTATGGAGTCCTTTCCTAAAAAGAAACAAGTAGAGGAGCCTCCGGAAGAAGTTCAATAGTTAAAGGAAGTTTTCGTTGACGAAGAGCCTATCTTCGAATGGAATGATGTGGCAACAATGATAGAATATAAGAGGCTCGAGCCTGGCCAAAACCAACATGTCAAGCCTTTGCACATTCGGGTCTCGATGAATGGCTATCCTCTTGACCAAGTTTTGGTGGACAGTGGAGCTTCTGTGAATGTGTTGCCAATTGAGACCCTACGGAAGTTCGGAAAGACTAGTGATGATTTGAATTCTACATTTGTGCGGCTTACCGATTTCGTGGGAAATTCTTACAAACCGGCAGGTATGATCACTTTGAATGTGCAGGTGGGGACAGAGGAAATATCATCAAATTTCATGGTGATTGATGGTAGGCCATTCTATTTGGCTTTATTCGGACGGAATTGGATTCATGCATGCGAGTGTGTGCCTTCGACACTCCATCAAATGTTGATGTTTTGGGATGGAGATGAAGTCCAAGAAGTGAAGGCCGAGGAGGATCCCTTGTCGACAGAAGTGACCACAATTGATTCAAGTGAACGGCTCAAGGCAAAAGGACATGGGCTCAATGGAAGCAATCGCCCAGCCTTTTTGAGGAGGGCGTTGTGCAAAAGCACCTGAACGAGAAGGAGGCTCAAATACAAAAGTGGTGCCAGAGCTCATTGGCCACGGAGCCGCTCAATAGCAATGGAGCTTCAAGCCTCGGAGCCAAAGACTGCTGCTTCCACAAAACCGAAGGAAACAGTTTCCATTGGATTGTGGTGCTTCCACAGGGCCGAAAGCAAAGGAAGGTTGCCTCCACAAGATAGAAAGCAACAGCTTCCACAGATCATGGGATAACTACCTCCGTTGGCCCTGGGTTAATAATTTCGTACTTAACATTAGTGGAGGACCTATGCACTCTCATGCTTTATTCAAAAAGCTCCATGGAAAAAACCAGCAAGAGGAAAACCGAAGATTCCATTTAACTCGAAGCTGTTGGGGATACATCCCCGTGGACCGGCTAGGAGTACGATGGAAACAAGTCGGAGTAAACAATATATCTGGTCCAGAGGCAATGGAAGAAGTTCAGAGCAAGTGGAACCCGGTCCAGAGGAAATGGAAGCGGCTGGGAGCTGATGGAAAAAGGTTACCAAGTGGTTAGGAGCTTATGGAAGGAAGTTACCAGGGAGTTGATGGAAGGGGGTTACGAGGTGGTTAGGAGGTAGTGGAAGGAGGTGATTTGGAAGTTGAAGGTAGTAGTGGGAGGTTACCAGGAAGTTGGAGGTAGTAGTGGGAGGTTACCAAGTGGTTGAGAGTGGTGGAGAAATAATTGTAACCGCCCCTTTAGTGGGAGAAGTGGTTATTCTAGCTTAGGATTACAAGTAGGAAAAAGAAACACAACACACACACGCACAAGAGAACAATTCGTCTATTTTTTTACTTTTCTTTCATGTTTTATTTTCGTTGAATTCATTTTAATTCGAATTACATACTTTTATCCGCTTTCAAGTAGATGTTAGTTTAAATCCATTGAAATCGGTTGTTTAGGCTCGAGACCTTGTGGACGATCGAAGCTGTGCAGGCTCCATCGTAGGAGCTGCCTCCAATCCGACGACGGACAGGCTCTTTGGACTACTTCCGGAATTCACACCGACAAATCAACGAACGTTCTAGGAACCTCCGAATTTCAGGATCCAACAATATGTTGGACGTGCCACAATTTCGCTATTTCAATACTATGGCTTGCGCGTGAGTTTCACAACTTGCCAAATTTATGCGCTACTATCATTGAATGACACGTGTCACAATATTGTATCATATAAAAAAAATATATATGAGATATTTTTACCAAAATTGTGACATGTCTAAGATATATTTTGTTAGGGGATCGATGAAGTACAAGTGAGTGGCATTTGTGAGTGATAGAAATTTATGCGCGATCAATGTACAGAAACAACCAAATTGTGACACGTGCATGATATATAATTAAAAGACAAGCATGATAATTGAATATAAATACATAATATTTTTTGCAATTTTCCCTATAAAAGATATAAAATTTTAAATAAATAATTTTTTTCACACATAAATATATAAATTTTAGGTAGGTGCTAGTAATATATATTATAGTAGTAATAAATATATGGTATTGATGGAGTAAGCCCATGAAATATATATTTATGTATTTATGTCTTATGATAATTTTCATAATTTTGTATGTTTATATTCTAATTTAATAAGTCGTAGTGGTTTATAATCTTAGTCATGAAAATTATGAATTACTAATTTACATAAGTGATACTATGAAAATTCACGAGATCAAATTAATAATAAATAAGTATAGAATGCAAGAAATAAAATAGGCACTTTCTTCTGTATCTACGTTTACGCTATGCTAGTTTTAGTATGCATATTTTTATGTTAAAAATGTCAAATTCATCATCTCTATTTTCTTGTAATATCAAATTTGAAATTTATTTTTCATAGGGTATATTTTTTAAGCGTAACAAATTAATTATTGATAAAATGTACTATTTTAATGTGTGTTTTGAATTGTGTTGTGATTTTTTAAATTTCATATTTTGAGATAAAAATAATTAATGTATGTAATATTTTGAATGAAAAATATAGAATGAATATGATATATATATTCCTTTTAATAAGAGTACTTGAAGAGTTGGAAAATAAGTTCCAAAAGATAAGTAAACAAACCCTTATTAATCCATTAATTTTAATTAGCCATTTTGGATTTGTTTAATGTTCTTGGCGAGATCAATTCAATAAATGGTACCGACCTTGAATATAAAATGATAATAATGAAATTTCTATATAATTATCAAAATAATTTTTCTTTTACTCTAGTCTGATCAATTAGTCATATGTTACTCATGCTCAGGAGGCGGAGCCAAAATTAAATACTTTTTATTTTAATATATATAAACTAGTTTTTAATTTATAAAATAATAAATTTATTTTTATTTTATTACAAAATAACAAACTAAAAGTATATTAATGACTATATATATTGGAAATATATATTTTTGTAATTTTTTTCTAAAAAAAATATAATTACTTATTAAAAAATTCAACACTTGAAATTTGTATTTCTATTATTTTGTTATTAATTTCAAAGATTTTTATATTATATATATTTTTAAAAAATTAATAAAAAGAACCCCAATAGAATAGGAGAGGGGTGGGTGGGGCAAGGGGGTTGTAGCCCCCTTGCCCCTATGTAAGTCCGCCCGTGGTCATACTTATTTATGCCCGCTACATAAAGCGAACTTGCACATTTCTCTCAAATCTTTAATTGAGTAGATGAGAGTTCGAAAACTTGAAATTCTACATCTAGTATTTGGAGAATCGCATTTAAAATCAAGGTGATGTCTCGTTTTCCATCCACTATCATTTTCATAACTTTTCTCTTTCGATAGATTGTTGATGCTATTATGATTTGGTTTTAACTACATTTGAGTGAACTACTTTTTTTTATTTTTTTATGTACTTGGTTTGGTTCAATGACAAAATCTATGTTCGGGAAAAATCTCAAAATTCTTTGTCTTTTCATTATCCCTTAGAAAATTCAGTCGTATGATAGTCTTAATCTATAATAAATTTATAAAATACTTTTTTATTTCTTTATATAAAGCAAACCATGCACATATCTCAAATCTAGAATTAGGTAGTCAAGAATCAAGAGATTTCACATTCTATATATATTATTTGGAGAGCCGAATTGGAACTCAAGGCGATCTTACTTTCTTATTCTATTCTCATATATATTCTTTTTCTTTTTCTCTCTTAATATATTTTCGATGTTATTACTCATTTAGCTTTAGTTGCAATTACATAGGATTTAGTTTTTTTTAACACTCTATGTTCTTTCGATACAATCGAGGTTTGTAAAAACTCAACATTATTTTCTCATTTTGGTAATATGATTGTGGAATTCCATTCATGATTCATAACTAAGTGATATCATACATATTTCTTTTCTCTACAGAATTGAGTAATCGGGAAATAAGAGATTTCAGATACATTATTTAAAAAGTGGCATCGAAACACAATGTTATATTTTCTTTTACAATCTATTCTTATATGTGTTCTTATTTCTCCTTTGAGACATTGTTGATATTTCTGTTTATTCAATTTTGAGCTACGATTAATATGGATATAAGTTTTAGATGATCTCGACGTTTATTTGATATACTCAAGGTTGGACAAAAATTTCAAAATTCAAAATTATTTTGAAGAATTGAGTAGTTGATAGTGTTATTCATTCAATTTTTAGCTACAATTCAAGTAGATCTGAGATTTCGATATACTCGAGGATGGAGAAAAACTCAAAATTATTTCGAAAAATTGCGCAGTTGAGAATTCAATGCATTGTTGATATTGGTATTAATATATTTTTTTTCGCTTCGATTCAATTGGATCTAAAGGTTCAATATACTTTAGATTTTCTCAATTTACTCGAGGTTGGACAAAAATCAAAACTACTTCGGAGAAGTGAGTAGTCGCGAATTCAAAGATTCAACATTTTACATCTATGATTTGGTGAGTGACATCAAAGCACAAGGTTATGTTTCTTTTTTGATCTATTGTTATATGCATTCTTATTTCTCCTTTGATTCATTGTTGATATTGTTGTTCATTCAGTTTTTAAGTACGAGTCTAATGGATGTAAATTATTGATATAGTCGAGGCTGGACAAAAACTTGAAATTATTTTGGAGAATGGAGTAGTCGAGAATTCAATTCATTGTTGATATTGTTATTCATTAAATTTTATCTACCATTTAACTAGATCTGAGTTTTCGATGTACTCGAGGATGGAGTAAAACTCAAAATCATTTCGAAGAATTGAGTGGTCGAGAATTCAATAAATTGTTGATATTGGTATTAACTTAGTTTTTAGCTATGATTCAATTGGATCTAAGTTTGGATATGCTTGAGATTTTTTCAATTTACTCGAGGTTGGACCAAACTCAAAATTATTTCGGAGAATTGAGTAGTCGAGAATTTAGAGATTTAGAG